CCACACGCGCATGCATGAATAAGCCTAGCAAATACAGAAAGTCTGTGGTAAATCGGCGCAGCAGAAACAGGGAGTCCATCCCTGGATCCACTTCCGTCTCAAAAAAGCAAAGATCGATTTTGATCCGCGATTAACCCTCTATCTGCCACCTGGGAGTGCGCCACGTAGCCTCGCGACTAACCGGCTATCGGAATACCTCTTTTGAGGGAGGTCCGTGGATCCACACCATAACAAGACTTATTGACATGTGGGAGAGTATAAAAGACCGCTCTCTCTCACTTCCATCGATCTAAGGAAAGCTTTTGATGCAGATATAGAGAACATTCCTCACGAATATTGGAATGTTCTCTATGTAAATCAATTATAACCTTTCCAAACATTTTCAAATGCTTCTCCCATGACCTTTTCTCCATTACGATCTGATAACCCTTCCAAACATTTCAAATGCTCCTCCCATGACCTTTTCTCTATGACGATCTGATAGCCGTATGTCTAACATTTCGCTGGCGCCTATCTCGTAAAATATCTGCACTTACGGTCCTAGGCTTTGAATATCGCCCTATCAGATCGCAAGGCTTGTGAAATGTTTCCAGCACCCGTCTTTTTGTTTACTGTAGCCCAACTCCGCCTACTGTAATCTGACTCCGCCCAGCGCAAAGGTATATAAACGGCTCCACGGTTAGCTAGCTCATGTCACAGCAATGCTGCCCAAGTCACCGCATTCGTGCGTCACATCCATCTCATGTAGTAAAAGTGTTATGCCAATCTCTTCACTCACAAGCAACCTGAACACCAGTGATCAGGCTGCGCCTACTCATAACCAGTATCATTGTTACATTAATTGTAGAGTTGTATTGTTATGATTGTTGTATAATTATGATAAACGGTTTAATTACCCAAGTTTGAGGTGTTCGGCATTGTGACTGCTAATCACAAGAAGTCCCGCGTGGCGCACACAAAGGCGAGCAGCTAATTCCGACCGAATCGTCTTAACTACTTGGTATTCCTATATCAACGAGCCGCCCCAACAGCAGATGAGATAGAAGCAGCCATGGAAGCCTTGGACAGCAAGGGTGTCTTTGCCTAGTATATAAAGTTCCTTGGTGGTCTGTATAAAAATTTAGCAATCAAAATATCACCATTCTGCAACGATATTAACAACAACGTCAAAAGAGGGGTTAGATAAGGCGATGCCAACTCGCCAAAATTACTACTGCCATCCATGAGAACGTCATGCTTACACTGTTATGGGACAACTTGGAGGTGAAACCCGGTGGGTGGCAACTACACCACCTTCGCCTTGTTGGTGATATCGTTTTTATAACACCGAGTATTGTCCATGCGGAACGAACGTTTGCTGACTTTGATAACGCATATGGGAAGATTGGTGATTGGCCAAATCCCAAGAAACAATGTTCATGAGTTACGGATTGGTTTATTATACCCCATTCAAGCTCAATGACACGAATATCTCCGAATCCTCCAGCAACGTCTGTCTAGGTCGGAAAATAAGCGTGGTGAATGACTTTGCTCCAGAGTTGTGGAGGAAGCGAACAGCTTGGAAAGCCTTCAACAGTATCGGAGATGTAGTGAAGAGAGAAAAGAATGCCCGACTCCGTGCCCACCTTATCGACTCAACGGTACTTTCTGTCCTATCTTATGTATCAGAAACCTACTCGCTTCGTAAGTGGGATGAAAGATCACTCAACATTATTGAAGGCACAGTCGAAAGAACGATGCTAGGAGTATTGTTCCCCACGCAAATGAGGAAAGACTTCCGAAGCTCCGATCTACGTCAACGATCGAAAACCAAAGACGCCGCTATATATGCAAAACTGTCGAAAATAAGTTGGGCCGGACACGTAATGTGTATAAACGACAACCGATGAAGAAGAGCCGTTATTGAGTGGATTCGACGGGATGTCAAGCGTACTACAGAAAAACTAAGAGCCCGATAGTCAGAGTTCTTAATGAAAGCCCTGTAAAAAAGATATGATGCTCAAAGAGTACCTTAGAGTGTGCAGAACCCACTGAACCACTCTTCCACGCATCATGTAGAAACCAACGACTTGGCGGCGCCCGCTCGAGTTAGTCGACGATCAACGGGACGCTGGGTGATCCCTGGTGAAATGCGATGATACCTCGCTCAGGTCCAAAAATGGTGAAGACACAAAAACGCCTTTGCAAAGTCAAGTCAGAATTCCAGGGAACATCGAATTAACCAAGCGACAATTGGCCACCTTTAGCTTTCTGCACACTGGGTGCTCGCTTTTGTGACGTTCGGCATCATGAGATGAGACGAGCGATGAGAGGACATGAAATCTCGTGTTACATAAATGGTCACTGGGACCGAATGTAGCAAACACACACATGACACCTCACGGAGACTGTTTCTCACTTTACACCGTAGTTGTTTCTTAATCTGCACGATAATACTAAAACAACCCCTTCGAGAGCCGATCTTCAAGCTCTTCTTGAACAAGCAGATCGGATCAATTCCCACATGATCGCCCTACGAGTACCAAAAAGTGAGAAGAGCCACATACGCGAACTAAACAATAGTAGCCTTGCTCTCCGTCGATGGTGTAGGCTTCGTCGTCCACCTATCCATAGTCCGTCTAGTCGCAGCGTAAGAGACCATCTCCCCTCACATGGCCGTTCTCTGACTTCAAGCAACGTCTCGTAAAAAAATCGCCATCACCAATTGTTTCTCACCGATAAAGGCAGCCAATGGACATGAATTAGATGTGTTCTACTACCACTTGGAAGAAGTTGTGTGCATTGATAAACTAAGTGATAACTGCACTACAAATTTGTTGTCGGAGACTTCAACGTTAAAAGAGGAAAAGCAAACGAGTAGAAATAGAAGACAGAAAGATTTGAATTGAGCACAGAGACCATCTTGAAGGACTCCTGTCTGCAACATTTCTTTTCCATGGAAACTCGTTTTTCAAAAACAAAGAAAACCGCCGCTAGACCTGGAAAACTACATACTGCTTACGGTACTGCTCACGCAGAAATCCACTATATTCTCACAAAGGAGGAAATCGCGCCCATTTGACACATCTGTATTCCTACAATTCTGCGCTTGGGTCCATTCAGCGCTTTCTTCGCACAAAAATTCTATTCCGCTGTAAGATGGAAAAGAATTAATGTCATCGACTACGAAGAAAAAACTAAGTTGTATATGATGGGAATATCCTGGATGAAATACTATTCAAACGTTACTGCCAGACTAAGGAAAGCACTACCGAGAACAACAAGCTGTTTTGCCAAACGACTTAGAAGTTGTGCAGCCCTCGCTTCAATTCCTCACGCACGAAGATCGGATTGCACCTCCATTACTACTAATGAGATGCTCGAAAAGTGAAGAAAAGTCAAACTTGATCCTAGTGAAACACATTTAACACGCAATTCCCACGTCCGACTTTCTAATAACCTTGGCATTGATTGAATAATTCTTTCTACTTCAGTTCAGCAAACACGAAGTGTTATTTTATTTCTTTCTTTTACGTAGAAGCTGACGTTTCGGCGGATTTCGCCTTCCTCAGAGCTTGGAAAGATCAATTTGTCTACAGTCTACACGGCCAAACACTTACATAACCAAACAGGGAAAATGCTGAACCAAAATTTCAATAATATTGAACACAGAGTCTTTGCACACACCGCGTTCCATGAGTCTTCTACTAAATATGTCACGTGGAGACCAACCGCACAGAATTCAGATGGAAGCGTAATGTGACCCTCCCATCAGAATAACAGGTTTATATACTGTACAATCGGATGGAAGCGTAATGTGACCCTCCCATCAGAATAACAGGTTTATATACTGTACAATATCACGCGTGATGACGAGGCATTCCTCCCTGCAGTTCATTTTCGGATTCTTGGAATTAACCCAGAATGCCTCTAGAGTTTTGCTCGTTTGTGTTCTCGATTCTTGCGCGAAGATCGTAACCCTTACTTCAAAATCTTCTCCGTTATGTCTCTACGTTCTATGCGTGCATAGTGGAGTATTTAGTTCACGTTTGCCGACTAGCTGTTCTTTTATACGAATGCGGAGTGGTCTACGCGCTTCGCCAACGTATTCGTCCCCGCACGCTTTACAAGAGATCAGATAGACTGTACCCGAACTCATGCAGTCACCGTCTCTACCGTTAGGGCAAATTATGCAGTTTTTCGTTATACATGGACGGTCATACAGGCGGTTGGGAACTAGCTGGCGCCTTAGATTACTCGGTGGCATTTCAATTACCGTTACCGAATTCTCTAGACCGGCACTTCTTAAATAGCGTTTTATAACTGCACTTACTTCATTTGAAATGAAGGACAGCATAAACGGGACCATATTTTCGCTAGAGTTATCGTTGGGGTACCTGTGGCTTCTTCTACACTTATCTTGAGCTACAGTTTAGTAGCCATTAAAAATGGCTATTTGCCGCGCCAAGTTCAGGGACTCCTCTCACTGCTGTCTTCCTGTGTACACGCTGGTTCGATACATGTTTCTCACAAGCGCCCTTTTCGCGTGAGAGGGGTTAGAGGAGAGGAAATGAACCTAGATGTTTTTACTACTTGGCTTTCGATACCATTTCGTAATGTAGCCGTTTTCCGGTAGGTTAATTCGCACGTTCAGAAATGGAAGCCAGTTTTCTTTTGGTTTCTCTTGGGTGAATTTAATATACTGTGACTGTTCGTTCTTCGTTCAACAACTCGAAACATCTGTCAATTTCTTCTTGTGTTGAACAAATGACCAAGCAGTCATCTATATATCTACAGTAGAGTAACGGACCGAGGTCGATTACTGGCGCTTCCACCTTAGACATCAATTCAATGGCAAGGCTTGGTACCAGTCTTCGTCCCATTGCCAGCCCTCTCATTTGAGCGTAATACCTCCCGAACCATCTGAAGATTGAGCAGTTTAGGCACTCCCTTAAGAGTGTCATCAACTGCTGAATCGAGAAGCCGTACATGTTTATTGCTCCTTCGTGTTGTATAAGGATCCCGCGGAAGGCTTGCATAGCGGAGTCACTCGACACGTTCGTATAGAGGGCAGTGACGTCAAAAGACTCCACCACGTACGCGCTGTTGGGTCGCGCGTTACTTAGACGATCCAGGAACATTTGGGTGTTCGTTAGATGAGTTTGAATGTACTTCAACAACTGAGTAAGTATTAGGGTTATTAACCACATTATTCTATTCGTTGGCCTGTCCACGCAGCTAATGTTAGCTCTAACCTTAAATAACGATGGATTGGCAGACACGAGATCAACTCCGGATACCAATTTATGGGTTTTAATAAGTAAGTACAGGACGGGACATGTTGGTAAGTCAACTTTGAGTGGAGAGATAACTGATGGTTCTAACCCAACCGCTCTTGCCAATTTAACACATTCGTTGTTTAACTTTCGGTATTGACTTTCAAATCCCTTCCCAGACGACGGACGATAAAGGGAAGCATCTTCAAGGTGCTTTTCTGTTATCTCAACATCTAACTGATGAAGAATAACAACGAATTCTCCACCCTTATCACTAACACGGCTTCGAGAGCATACAGAAACACCGCCAACGAAGATCAAACGAGTAGGATAAATAATGTGCGAAACAATTCACGGCTAACTGTGTTAGAAGATATGACTATGACGGTGCGCGCTCGTTATTAGAATTGGGACCGAGTTTCTCACCATTTGAACCCATTTCTAAGGTAACTTTGCGTAAGGTCGCATGTAGTTTACATGAACTTCAAGATAGACTCCGCTAAAAAGTTAGGGATGAAACGCTAAATAAGCGCGAACAACAAGAATTAGGGGCAATACCAGTACCACCATTTCCACAACCGTTCTTTAGACAACAAGAGCCCAATAATGAACATGACATTAAATTTCGGACGTTTACGAATGAAACTTTCAAAGTCCTTAATCACTATCGCGCCAAGAGATACTGGTCCAACCTCACTGAAATACAAAGAGGTAGGCGTAGAGGAATCCACAGGTACCGCAACGATAACTCTAGTGACAATAAGGTCCCCTTTATACTGCCCTTCATTTCAAACGAAGAACGTGCCGTTATAAAACTCTGTTTAAGAAAGGCCGATTAGAGAATTCGGTAACGATAATTGAAATGCCACCGAGTAATCTAAGAGGCCAGCTAGTTCGTAACCTCCTATACGACCGTCTATGTGCAACGCAAAATTGCATAATATGCCCCAATGGTAGAGACGGTGACTGCATGAGTTCGGCTACAGTCCATCTGATCGCTTGTAAAGCGTGCGGGGACGAATACGTTGGTGAAACGGGTAGACCACTCTGCGTACGTATAAAAGAACACCTAGTCGGCAAACGTAAACTAAGTACTCCACTATGCACGCACAGAACGCAGACATAACGGAGAGGACTTTGAAGTTCGTGTCACGATCCTCGCACAGGAATCAAGAACGCAAGGGCGCGAAACTCTCGAGGCATTCTGGATTAATTCCAAGAATCCGAAAATGAACTGCAGGGAGGATTGCCTCATTATCACGTGTGATATTGGGCAGTATATAAGCCTGTTATTCTGATGAGATGGACACGTTACGATTCCATGTGAACTCTGTGCGCTTGGTCTTCACATGACATATTTAGTGAAAGACTCATAGAAAGCGGTGAGTGTGCAGAGCTATGCTAAATGTGATTGAAATCTTGGTTTAGAGTTTTCTCTGTTTGGTTATGGAGGTATTTGGCAGAGTGGATTGCTGTCAACTTGACCTTTCCAGGCTCTGAGGATGGCGAAATCCGCCGAAACGTCAGCTTCTTCATAAGAAAAAGAAATAAAATAACACCTCGTGTTTGCTGAACAGAAGTAGAAAGAATTACGTTTAACACGGTTGACAATAACTGTTTTTTTCAAAAGATTTTTGCAGGAAAATCTACATCGGTACGGGCAGAACAAATTCTTAGAAGCAACACGGAAAAGAATCAGTCTGAGCAGTTGCTATCGAGACTTGTGAGGGTGTAATACTCCAGTATCAGCTCTGCTGAACGAAGGTGGGGTCATCAGAACTTCGCTTCATGACATGAATCTCATAATAGTAGCCTTCTACACCAATCGTTCCCGTTCCGCAACCTCAATCCCAGTCCCTAAAATCTCCGCTGGAGAAAAACCAACTGGCATTCTTCTCCTCGAGTTTAGAAGGTTAAAAAGGCATATTATCTCCAGGAGCCGATAATATTAACGCCGGTTTCTTTCGAACTAGAGACCACAATTACATGTATTCCTCTCAACTCAAAAATTTTACCTTCACAGGAAGAAAATCCCAGTCGGAGAGAGGACGTCATGCAAGGTTATCCGGCCAGTGAACGGTAAAGAAAGAGATGTCCGTAAATATTGTCCGATATGCTTGTTGAGTGTAGTCTAAAAGCTGTTCACGAAAATTACCCTGTCGCACATATCGAGGACATTGAACTAGGCACAACTAGTTGAGCAACAAGGATTTCTACAGGGATTCTGCTTCCCTGACCTCATTCAAACCGTATCACAGATCATAGCAGCCTGTCAAGAATAGTGCGTGCCTCTAACATTGACTTCTAGCGACTATGAAAAAGCGCTTGACAGTGTCGAAATGAATCCAGTGCTATCAACGCCCGTTGACCAGGTAGTGGACCCATCCTACTTAAGAACTTTATTAGATTGCTATCATAACTGCACCAGGAAAATACAGTTTCCTCATGTAATTCGTACCATATCCATAAGAAAAAGGGTTTGACAAAGCGACATGACATTTCCAAAGCTATTTATTGCAACATTGCACTGAATAATGAAGTCACTTCGACTGGGATGAGAAGGACATGCATAATGACGGAAAATTCCGAACAAATCTTCGTTTCGCTGACGACATCGTTATCTTCTCAAGAAATACTAATGAACCAGAGACGATGGTCGATGAGGGGAACAAAGCAGGAAAAGAGATCGCTCTACGCATAAGTTGAAAGAAGATGCTGTTTATAAGAAAAATTATGGTGGGAAGACAAACTGATCAGATTAGACGCTTCTCCGACTAAAGAGAATACTTCGGTGTTCCTTGCACGTTCAATGAACACGAACAGGATGAAAGAGGAACTATACAGAATGAAGAAAAATTGAATGAAAATAGAATGAGGTAGAGGGGGAACAGTGCGGGTATATCCGGTCTTCTTAAAAAAGTTGATTCAGCAATCCTCCTAGCGCTCTGTTATGCTGCAGTGACGTGGGTTGATACTTCACCCACGTCAGAAACAGTCCTCAATACTCACAGAGCGCTTCAGCGATGTCTTCTAAAATATAACCGGTACTCTTACTATCTAGGCAGAATGCGAAGCTCTGAGCTTCAAAATCTGTCACATCTTCGAGATGCAGTAAAAAATACACCAATAGCGAACCATAGATGGTGATGTAATAAAAAGAAGAGACGACAGAGGACGAAAGGAACAGTATAGTGAACTCCAAGACAATGTATGCGTCTCTAGGACGGCCACCTACAAGTTGAGCCGATGTGTTCATAAGCAAAGTTAGTCGGCGGTACTTGCAGCTGCAGTCATTTTACAGATCACGACATGAGATTCGCACGCGCCACCAAGTTCGAATAAAACCACCGCCAAAGACGATGATTGCGAGGAAACGGAATGCATGGAAAATGTGCTGGGATCCGCACAACTCGCGAAGACGGGCCGTTGAAGCATGATAAGTTTTCATAAAGTTCTATTCCACATAGCGGAAACTAATAAAAACCACGTTTAGCTGCTACTTAGTTTTAATTCAAATATTCCCTATTACGTTTCTGATGTTATTGATCGATGGCTGACGTTTAGGCGACTTCGTCTTCCGTCCCGCACGTAACATCACGGCTCTGAGGAAGGCGAAGTCGCCGAAACGTCAGCCATCGATCAAAAACATCAAAAACAACGACAACGAAGATCTGTACCAACCTCGCGTCAGCTTAAGAAGATCAGTTTATAAGATCACATAAATAAATATATCAACTATCTATGCCGAGGTTTATAGAAAGTCGGTCTTTCGAGTTATTCCCTTAAAAAAGTTGATTCAGCAATCCTCCTAGCGGTTATACGATAAACTACATTATAAACAGTTCCCAGGATCGACTTTCTCTTAACCTCGGCATTCGAATATGAATGTGTCGTTTTCTTGTTCAGCAATCGCGAGGTTCTTAAACAGCATACATTTACTTCCATAGAGAAACACAATACAATACAACACTAGCTGACGTTTCGGCAGTATCGCCTTCTTCAGAGCCTGGAAGGGTATGCTGATATACAATCTACTAGGCCAAACGCTTCAATAACACTTACAAAAAGACGAAAAACTCTATGGTAATTACATGATCAACAACTTCTCGAAAAACCACCGCTTTTTCGTGACTTCCAGTGAGGAAGTTTAGAACAGCTGATTATAGTCGCATATGGTTGATGACTGCACCATCCCACATCAAAAATCGATGCGAACATACGGGATCAGGTCACGTATGACCTCCGGGCATTCATCCCTGCTATTCATTGCAGGGTTTCTGGCATTTGTCCAAAAAGCCTCAACAAGTTTTCGCGCTGGTGTTTTAGACTCCTTGCAAGGATATTGACTTTTACTTCAAAATCGTCTCCGCTATGCTTTTGTATCCTATGCGTGCTTAGTGGGGTGCTTCGTCTTAGTTTTCGTTTGCCATCTAGGTGTTCTTTTATACGGATACACAAAGGTCTGCCCGTTTCGCCAATATATTCATCTCCGCAATTATTACAAGAGATCAGGTATATCGTACCTGAACTCATGCAGTTACCGTCCCCGCCGTAAGGGCAAATTACGCAATTTGTTGTTTCACACAGACGGTCATACAGGCGGTGACGAACTAATTGACAACATAGAGTAGCCGGTGGTATTTCAACTATCGCTACCGATTCCTCTAGACCTGCCCTTCTTAAGCATCGTTTTATAGCTACGCTTCCTTCATCGCTTATAAAAGGTAACATAAACGGGACTTTCTTTTAGCCAAGTGTTTCGCGTCGGCGCGACGCTCTCCTTCTAAACTTATCTCATGGAGTTACTATTTCGTAGCCATTGGAGATGGCTATTTGCCGAGCCAAGTCGGGAGATTCTTCCTCGA